TCAGGAACATGGAAAAACGTGACGACTGCCAGGGCCTGTGCTGTTCCAGCTGGAGCGTGTGTCTTCCATCTCCTACAGCACAAGCTCTTGCCTAAGGGCAACTCTCAGTCACTCTTTTCTAAAATTTTTAAAATATATATATTTTTTCTGTATTGATTAAGGTATTACATATGTGTCCTTATCTACCCATTGCCCCCCACCCCACTCCCATTCATGCCCTCACCCCCCTGGTGTCTGTGTCCATTCGTTATGCTTATATGCGTGCATACAAGTCCTTTGGTTGATCTCCCCCCACCACCACCACCCTCCTCTGCCTTCCCTCAGAGGTTTGAGCATCTGATGGATGCTTCTCTGTCTCAGTAACTCTTACAGCAAGATCACTGCGATAGCAAGGGTGGAGGTTGAGCTGCCGTGGGGGCTGTCTTCTTGTCTGTTTCTGACATCCACTCTTTCAGCAAACACTCCGTAGGTCCAGTTTCTAACCACCCTTTGCTTAGCCCTCTTAGTTCCGGTCTTTTTGTCACCTTCTTGTCCTGAGGACTCTGGAGACCCTTCTCTCCTCAGTGATTGCTCTCTCAGCTCTCATCTCCCTCTACTTCCATCCTTCTCTTGTCATAACCTCTCACTGGGATCTGCTCCCTCAGATATTCTTTTACTCACATTATTGGCCTTCTCTCTGCCACGGGTACCAGCTACTTAGTTATTAGCCAGCACCATTCTCACTGACCAGTTTCCTTCTGTCCCACCAATGATCTTATAGCCTCTGCCTTCAGAGTCTTCTTGGACATTGGATTTGACTAGTTCTTCATGTTTTCCTTGTTCACCTTTGTAATTGACTTTCTTACCTCATGCCTGTCAAAAATGGCTAGTCAGCAGTGAATCCTATCCATTAACAACAAGTGCTGGGGAGGATGTGGAGGAAAGGGAACCGTTGTGCACTGCTGGTGGGAATGCAGACTGGTGTAGCCACTGTGGAACACAGTATGGAATTTCCTCAAAAAATTAAAAATGGAACTGCCTTCTGACCCACAATTCCACTTCTGGGAATATATCCAAAGAAACATGAAACACTAATTCGAAAGAATATATGCACCCCTATGATCATTGCAGCGTTATTTACAATAGCCAAGCTTTGGAAATAGCCCAAGTATCCACCAATAAAGGCATAGATGAAAAAGCTGTGGGACATTTACACAATGGAATATTAGTTGGCCATAAAAAAGGAAATCTAACCTTTTGGGACAGCCTGAGCTTTTGGTGTACTATTCAAAAAATCATTGCAAAGACCAATATCTAGAAGTTTTTTGCTATCTTTCCTTTTAGAACTTTCATGGTTTCAGATCTTGTGCTCAATTTTTTAATCTATTTTGAGTTAATTTTTGTGTGTGGGAAATGAAGATCCAATTTCATTATTTTGGAGGCTGACCTCCAGTTTTTCCCAACATTTAAGAGATTATCCTTTCTCCATTGTGTATTCTTGACACCTTTGTCAAAGACCAGTTGTGTGGGTTTATTATGTAGTTGTCTATTCAGTTCAATTGGTCTACATGTTTATTTTTATTCCAATGCCATACTCCTTTGATTATTGTACCTTTGTAATATATTCTGAAATAAGGAAGTGTAAACATTACATCTTTGTTCTTCTCACTCAAGATTGTTCTGCCTATTTGGGGTCTTTTGTCATTCCATATAAATTTTAGTTCTTTTTGAAATACATTTCTGCAAAAAATGTCTTAGGAATTTTGATAGGAATTGCACTATTTATAGTGCACTTTGGTTAATATGAGGATTTTAATATTAATTCTTTTAATTCATGAACACAGAATACCTTCACATTTGCTTATGTCTGCTCTAATTAGTTTCATCAATGTTTTAAAGTTTTCAATGAATGTCATTCTTCTCTTTGATTAGGTTTATTTCTAAATATATTATTCTTTTTGATCCTATTGCAAGTGAGATTGCTTTCTTAATTTCTTTTTCAAATAGTGCATTGTGGGTGTATAGCAATGCACCTGACTTTCATATATTGATTTTGTATATTGCAACTTTACTGAATTCATTAAGAGGTTAGTTTTCATGTTGTTTCTTACCACAGCACCTACGCAAACCCACACAGGAACCAAAGTAACCTTTTGGAGGTGGTGAGTATGTGTATTACTTGAATTGTGGTGATGGTGACACATTTGTCCAAAGTCACCAAATTGTATACATTAATTAGGTATAATTTTTGGTATAATGATTCTTCTTCAATAAAGCTGAAAAACAAAACAAAACAAAACAGAATAAAAGTGCATTTTAGATACTACTATTTTTTTATTTCTATTGTGGGACAGAAGCTAGATAAAATGTCTCTATAATTAAACACAAAAACTGATTACAGTATCTATAACATTGTGCTTATAAATAAAAGTCACAATTGTTCCCAGGTTAAATACATCTTCTGGCCCAAGAGAGGACAAAACAAAAAGTGCAACAATTTATCCAACCACTAGATGGCACTGCTGCTTGTGGGTGCCCACAATGCGGGGTGGGGGTCATGGGGGCGGAGCCAAAAGACAAGTTAGTACAGCACAGGGAAGAGTCATGAAGCAAACTTGTAATTACTAGAAAGTAATTATTTCTAATTAGTTACTAGAAAGTAAAGTTGTACTTTAAATCATAAAATTATTTCCTTTAATGATCTTGTATTTGGGTTTATTTAAAATAGAAGTTTTTCTTACAAGAGTAAAAAACTATTCATTATAAAAGACTTTGAATCTATAGAGAAGCATAGGGAAGAACATAAATATTTCCTATATCCCTACTACTCAGGGAAAACCATTTTGTTTACCTTTGAAATTTTTCTTTCTTTCTGCTTATAGAAAAGCAAACATATAATTAATATTTTTTGATATTTTAACAATTTTTATTGTGGTATATTTGTACCCAATAAAATGTGGAACTAAGGTATCTATTCGTTATGTTTTGACAGATGTGTATGCTTATGAACACCACTCTAATAAGATGTAGACCAGAAAGTACCTCATGCCCCTTACACTTCTTCCTCCCGCCTCACTTACAGAGGCAACCACAGATTTCTGTCACTGTCCCTTAGTGTTTCCTGTTCTTGAATTTCATATAAATGGAATCATACATCAGGTCCTATTTTATGCCTAAATTTTTTTTTTTAGCTCAACATAATGCTTAATAATGGCATGGAATCTTACTGTATATATATATATATATATGATTTTAACTGGTTTAGCAATAACAGTTTGAGTATTCGCCCATATAATTAAACATTCTTCATTATTATTTTTTAATGTTGGCATATTTTTCATCATGTGGTAGAAATACTTAATTAAATCTTTAGTTTTGGACAATTAAGTGGTTCTGACTTATTGCTAGTAAAAAAAAAGCCATTTGACAAATATTTTTGTGATTATGTTTTACATATCCGAGATTATTCCTTTAAAATCCACTCCCCCCAAAAGAAATTGACATATGAAAGAAAAGGATGAATCTTTTTAAGATTATTGATAAGCATTTTTAACCTGTTTTTCAAAGATTAAACTAACTCAGTTTATATTATCCCCAGCAGTCTCTCTGGTCATATATTTTTTAACATTTGTCCAGAATTTTTTAGCAATTTAATTTTCGTTATTATACATTTCCATGTGTAAAAATTTTGTCAAATTTATAAAAATTGAGAACAAGCTTAGGAAAAGCATTGCCATATTCATATTATAAAATTTTGAGTCAATTGAAGACTGACTATAGTATCTAACATTTTAATGGCACCTTATCATTTTTAAAATACTTTTAACTTTATTGAATTTCTAAAATTATGTAAAATAAGCCAGTTAAGAATTCTTTCCCTTTTCAGAGGAAGAAATTGAAATTATCTTGGGAAAGCAAAATAAAACACTGATCACAATATTTATCTCCAGCCAGGTATGTTTTCAGTCATTTTTCATGTATTAACTAATTCAGTTTCCAGCTACGTTTAACTACATTTCTAACTAATTCTAACTTAAACAGCTATTCCACTAGTTAATGGCAGAGATGAACTCAGGCAATCTTTCTCCTGGATCTGGCTCTTAACAGCAACACTTTCCACTTACACATTTCATGGAACACAAATCACAAGACATTTTTTCGAACATGACTCAGAAGAGTAAATGACTAAAATATGTATAGCATTTTGGAATTGAACAAGATGCTTTTAGAGCATCGGTTATTAGGACCAATTATTCTCTTATTGAAGAGAGAATCTATACTAATAAAAGGGGAATATGCTAATTAGACCAGGTGACTGGACATCTTCCAGATGTCCAACTTCCTTCCGGACAAAGCCATGGTGGTGGGGGCCAAGGCAGAGGCAGTTAGGGGCAATCAGGCTGGCAGGGCAGTGGTTAGGTGATCAGGTCAGCAGGCAGGCAAGCAGTTAGGAGCCAGCAGTCCCGGATTGCGAGAGGGATGTCCAGCTGCGGTTAGGGGCGATCAAGCCAGCAGAGGAGGGCAGTTGGGGGCGATCAGGCTGGCAGGGCAAGGCAGTTGGACATCCCCCAAGGGGTTCCGGATTGGAGAGGGCGCAGGAGCCGGGCTGAGGGACCCCCACCTCCTGCACGAATTTTGTGCACCGGGCCTCTAGTGAGGTTATAAATAGGTCCCCACAAAATGACATTAGGTATCTCCTACTATCTCTATGCTTCTTTTTGTTTAAATTTGTTTATTAGTTCTAACCATCTTTAAAAAAATTTTTTAAATTGATTTTTGAAAGAGGGAAACATCTGATGAGAAAGATTGATCAACTGCCTCCTGCATACCCTCTACTGGGGATCAAGCCTGCAATCCAGGCATGTGCCCTGATCAGAAATTTAACCAGTGACCTCTTGGTATAAGGGAAAACGTTCAATCAACTCATTCACACTGATCAGGCTTATGCTTCTTTAGTATGAGGGTGATAAACAATAAAGAATAAGAAAATAATAGGGACAAAACATTTTAAATGGCATAGATTCTTTTCAAGTCAATTATAATATTTACTGAGCATCTGCTTTTATACAGAAAGACGCATAAGGCCTTTGTAGGAACAGACATGTAAAAACAATTCAAAAAGTAGAAACCACATTATAAAGCTAAGGTATTACAGTAGATAACTTTTTGAAAAAATGTTTTTCTTATTTCTAGTATGACATAATTTTTAGTGTATTTTAAGGGAGCAAACACTTCTTAGAAATAATTTTGTTTCCATTTTTATTTTAACATACATAAAAGCAGCTTATAATTGCACCAAATACAAAAGACAAACAAACAAATAGTTTATTGCACTGCAAACACCTCACATGAAGTACTGCATGTGATAACATTGATTAGGAAAAGCACAAATTTATAATCAGATATTGTATTATTCTAGGTTTGAACAATACAGAATTTTTTCTAATAGGGATTTGCCACATCATATATTGCACACTTTCCAACACTTATCTGTTTTACAAATATTTCTCATGTTCTTTGGTTTTGTTTTTATCTTTATAAAACATGGTGTATAAAGTTTTAAAGGCAAAGAATTAAGTACCATTAAAAAAGACATTGAAGAAATAAAAACAAACAAACAACATAAATATGTGGTCATCCCAGTTTTGGGGAGAAAAAAGTGACAAAGTAGCCTGGCAAACTTCTCCAAAAAGAGAGAAATATTACAAAGCTTAGTTTCATAAGCATTTGTCCACCTATAAATGTTCTCTGAGCTTAACAAATGCATTTAGACTAAATAACTGTGTTACCAGTTAACATTTCTTTTGTTTACATTCAGTTTTTAATACTGCCATCTAATTCCTTCTAATAGTGCAAATGCGTGAAGGACACTCATCGTTGGTAGTCATTCGGCAATAAATAAAAACTCTAAACCTAGCTGTTTTATTATTTTTGGATTTGAAAAAGTATAAAGTGCATTCAAAAGGTTTAAAGTCATTTTTCTCAATCTTGGACATAAATATCCATCAACCTGTGATGTTTTCAGGTCACGGCGAGGGTATTCTGCAATGCAGCTCCCCTGCCTTTTGTTCCACAGTCTTGTTTGGAAGAAAGTTTCCAAAATCATACCAAGTTTCTTCACAAAGTCCTTACGGCAAACATCTGACCATAGAGCAGCATCCACGACACGGATTGCCTTGAGTTCCATGACATGATAGTCTATAAGCCAATATGGCTCCTCACTGTTTGAAGGGTTTGTTACATATCCAATGTAAATTCCTTCCACAGTCTGTGCTGCTGACCTCTGTGCTATTCAGAAATGCACAGTTCTCTGACCCTGTGAGGCTGAACCTGTCAAACAATAAAGAAACTGAGAATTACTTTCAGTGCATCGTTTCCGTTCAGTTACATGGAACATAAAAACTTTGTGGTAGTAGAGGTCTCTGCTTTATTTATTTATTTATTTATTTATTTATTTATTTATTTATCATAAACTAATCTAGAGAGAGAGGAGACAGGGATTGAGAGGAAGAGTAGGCGGAAGGAAGGTACAAAGCTAAGAGTAAAGTGTATCCATTTGGGCCAGCCAGCATGGCTCAGTGGTTGAGCATCGAGCTATGAGCCAGGAGGTCAAGGTTCAATTTCTGGTCAGGGCACATGCCTGAGTTGCAGGCTTGATCCCCAGTAGGGGGCGTGCACAAGGCAGCTGATCAGTGATTCTCTCTCATCATTGATATTTTTATCTCTCTCTCACTCTCCCTTCCTCTCTGAAATCAATAAAAATATGTATTTAAAAAATAAAATAAATGATAATAAAATAACGTAAGAATCTTTAATTCTGGGGCAATTTTTCTTTCAGGTCCATAGAAGCTGCTAATTAAGCATGAAAATATTGTTCTTTATCCCTGTGGAGATGAGAACAGGGAAAGAGTACGAGGGAATTGTTTTTCAAAAACTAGTTCATCAGTAAAATATTAATATGAGATTGGAAATGTTAGATTTTATCATCACAATTATTTCTGGAATATTTCTGAGTCTTCTAGTCACACTAATTTTATTTTTCTGAGATCAAATTACTAGAAGCATTTGTTGTATGAATTCCAAGTAAGGGAAAAGAGCAAAATGATCATATGACAGCTTTTCTTTAAAGAATTCCAAAGAGTATAAGCATACAAAAGAGAACAGTGGAAACAGGGAAAATGGTTTCCCTGAGCTACCAGTCTGGGAAAGATAAAGAAACATCTTGAAACTTACCCGTTGTTAAATTCTTTGCCATTTGACCATTTCCATGTCTGTCCAGCATCATTTTTTAGCCCAATCCAGTGTTCAGCTCTACCCACATATCTTTTTAAAAAGATCTTGAAGAAATGACAAAGGGGGTGCTTGTTAAACAGCTGTTATGGGTAAGTAGATGTAATACATTCTCAAAATCAGTTTCTCAAAAGCTGCATCTGAGGTAAAGTAGCTGATCATTCATTAGCTCTGTATAGAATTGACTCATTCGGATTTCTAGCCTTTGAGGCTAGGCATCCAAACCAGATTTACAAGACTAAATAGAACCCTCGTCTGACCTCAGACTAAATGTTCCTACATGGACACAGATACAATGTCTTCTTCATTTATAAGGAAACAGAAGGACATCACAGATTAGCTCTATAAAAGAAAACAGCAATATTTTATGAAATTGTGTTTGAATATTATCTTACCATGTCCTTTTCAGAATCAATGACAGCAAGAGTAGCACCGTGTTTGAAGCAAGAGTTTTGGGCCAAGGTCCAATTCCTTGTTGTATTGGAAATAAAGTAGCATTTCCTCTGGTATCCAATCCAATCGTCCGAGCATGAAGAAACATGGTTGTTTGATGGTTCCGAAAACATATATCGCGCTGGACAATTGTACTGGCCCACTGTGGACAGGAAAATTGTTTTAGTCACAAAATAAGTTAAATACCCACAGCATGCAAACCTAGTTCTTGGGGTAGGTGATAAAGTGAAGGCTGAAAGGCAAAAAGGCAAATTCGGAGAAGCATGCGAAGGCAGGTCCTCACCTTATCAGATCTCCCATTGTGCCTAATCATCATTGGACAGGGTATATTAGTAGGAGAAAAGAAGGTGGCTCTTTGGCCATAATGTCCGAAAGTGGTAACAAAAAAAAAAGAAAAGAAAGAAAAAAAAGAAAAGGAAAACCTTAAAAACGGTCTTGGATTAGAAAGGGTAAAGTGTTTTATAAATTTCAAGAAGGGTTTTGAATCTGAATGCAGAGGTGGAGGGATTTAAACTTTCAGGAGATAAAACACTCTATTTGAAGATGAAAGAGAGAATTATTTGCAGGAAGTAATTCAGAACACAAAAAGACCTATGACTGAAAAAGTTTCATAAAATTATAAATATAATGTTTGTAAAAGACACAAACGTATCTTGGTATAGTGGTATACTTTGAATATCTTATGGCGCTTCACTCTGGGAGTTTCTAGATACAGTCATAATTATTCATAGCCACAGTTTGGCGGTCTTTGAGTTGAAAGACAAAAGACTGACCAAATCTTGATTAATCTATGGCTTAGATATTACTTTTTTCTGTCAATATGAATGTGAAGCCCACAATTTTCCTAACTGTTGATTTATTTAGAATCTAAATCAGCTCCTTTCATTCCACATTTAAACCCATAGTAATGTAATTTTCTTCCACAATAATGCATAAATCATAGACACTTTTCATACTTATGGAAAGGCCCCAGAGTTGTGGAGACAAAGGAAGGATATAAAACTGGAACTCATAGACACAGACACAGCATGGTGGTTATCAGAGGGAAGGGGGTTGGAGGGCAGTAAACGGTAAAGGAGGCTAAATATATGGTGATGGAAGATGATCTGACTGTGGGTGGTGGGCACACAATGCAATGTACAGATAATGTATCATGAAAATGTACACTTGAAACCTATATGATCTTATTAATCAATGTCACCCCAATACATTTGATAAAAAAGAAAATCTCTAGAAAACTCTAAATGGTATTATATTAATCGCCCAAGGAACGTGGAATTGTATTAGTATTTTTTAGGAAATCCACCACGTATGATATATGGATGCTGCTAAATTGCTCAGAATTGCTGATTAATTGGACCAAGGACTCCCACTGATTTCAGCTGAGATTACAACAGAGACAGCAAAGAGACTCGATGGATTCATGAAGTGCAGACCCACCTGATAAAGCGATGAGAGCTATGATCAAGACGGTGATGATGACCACGTTCAGGACAGCACATGGGATAGGAACTTGAAGGGACCCTTCATGATGTGAGGCAAAGTGAAGGCTGGCAGCGTTATCTGAAGAGAGAAGGTGGATGTGAGTTCAGGCAGACTACAGAAGTAAGATGGGGACATTTGATATTTTCTTGCAGTAAAAAGTAATGTGTCTCCCTATCTTCTATAAAATTTATGCCAATTTCCCCCAAATTTTGGATGAATTTGGATAATTTTTGGAGGGGTTAGAAATGAAACAATATAGGCATAATGATGAGAACATAAAATATCTTCCCAAAATATGTACTTAGTAGCAATGAAAATTCTGTCATCATAGTTTTATTGCTTTACTCACAATAAGAACATTTATTAAACACCTGATTACCCTAGATGACATATTAAAAAAATCATAATCATAATTCCTTAACCTCTCTGTATTTACAATTTACTGTTTAAGAGTAATGGTGTAAATGAGGATAAATGGGGAATGTATAATAAAAAATATTGAATTGATATATTAATATCTATAACTAGCATGACAGAAAATAAAAACAATTGATAATAATTTTTGGTAAAGTTGGTACAGATGTGAAACAATCGAAATTTTTTATAAGTTTCATTTTACTGTTGGAAGAGTAAAATGAAAAAAAAAACTTTAGAAAACTGTTTCTTACACAATTAAGCACACATCTACCATGTGATCCAGCAATTCTACTCCTATGTATTTTCTCAAAAGGAATGAAAATATGTCTCAAAAATGCTTTGTATAAAAATGTTTATAGCAGTTTTATTCTTAAGAGCTAAATTCTAGAAATAACCTAAATACACATCAACAGGAAAACTGATAAACAAATTATGCTATTATCCATGAAAGGACATATAAAAAAAGAGAGCAACTGATACATGCAACAAAATGGAAAAGTTAAAAAAAAGTTGAGTGAAAAAATCCACATACTGTTACATACTGCATATTTTATTTAATGTAACATTTAAGAATTGCTGAACTAAGCTATGGTGACAGAATTCAGAAAAGTGAAAGCTGTTATGTGTGTAGAAAAGGTAATCTGAGCAGAAAGGAATACAGGGGAACTTTCTAGAGTGATGGCAATTTCAAATGTTGATTGGAGTTGTAATTATACCTCATTAAACTGCACATTTATGATCTATGCATCCATTGTATATAAACTATACCACAATTAAAATATGAGAATGAACAGTAAAATATTTGAATTTTCAAGATAATTTAAAATAATAAAAGAAATCTAACAGTATTAAAGACCAAACATTGGGAAGAAGTTATTTTTTCCCATTTATCCTTTGTTTAATGCTAAAAAAAAGTAAAATTTTGATTTCACCAATAAAAATATTTTGTGGAAGGATTTAGAATATAAGTATGATGTCAATGATGATTCTTAGTTACACAGACACACACACCAAAGGAAATCTAGAAGGATATCTGTTCCGAAATGTAAATAAATTAATTGAGAAAGGAGACAATGGGATCCTGTGGCTCAGAGTTTGAATTTGATTTTTGCTAGGAAGAGCTGTCATTTTTAAAAACTTTGGCCTCACAAGAAATACATAGTTCCCTATTATGTTCTGAGAAACTGAAATATAAAATTGCTATGTGAATGATATCAAAATTTACCATAAAAACAGTCTCAAAATGAGAAAATATCATGTTTTTGAATATAGATGACTTGTATAATTAAGAGCACATATCTTGAAATGCACATATTTTTCCTTAAGACATTTCTCTAAAGTTAAAGTGGGCTAAGAGATGTTGCTTTCTTTACGAGGAATTTACCATGTACTGAATGTCAGCATCAGCTTCTGCTTCTGGGGTGGTTTTTCCCAGCGTAGATCTGCATTCAGATTTTTCAAGAGATGCCTTTACTTCTCTCCTATCTAGTTCTATTTCTCTCAGCTTCTCAAAGCCAATCTGCATTCAGATTTTTCAAGAGATGCCTTTACTTCTCTCCTATCTAGTTCTATTTGTCTCAGCTTCTCAAAGCCAATCTTCTTTTTTTTCGCCAGAATCCAGCTGTTACCGGAAGGAGCCCAGGGTAGGTAGATAGCAAGTTCAGAGCTCTCTGTCTAGTTTCACTTCTCATCATGCTTCTTAGCCTCAACGCAGCAGCACAGCTCTGTTCCTGAGCCAGTATTAACTCAGCCAGATAGCTCAGGGCCTCCAAAGTCTACTTCAGTCTATTGGCTTAGCCAGTGGGTAAACTGTGCTGATGATTTTCAGATTGTACTTTACATCCATTAGTGAGGGCGGTGGTTGCTCAGTTTGGTTCATCACCTAGGTGACCAAACACTGCCCCCAAGAGTGTACTTCCGCTCTGATTACGGTCCTGCCCATTAACGGAGAAATTGAAAATAAATCCACCATTACATATTGAGTCACCTAAGGGTTGTGCCCAGTGTTTTTTCATACTAATAATGTATGTAGAAGACAGCATCAACTAAACATTCAACAGAAAATGGGGATGATCTCAGGAAAAGTTAAGAATCCCTGAATTAGGACCTTTTTGCAACTATGCCCTCTATTTATTGAGTAGTTTAATTATTACAATTATTTTTCCTTTTGGTAGTTCAATGAGTCCATAAAGTTATGGTTATGTGGTTACCAGAAATTTTGTATAGTTTGCATTTGTTATCCACAGTTGATTTTGTGTTCTAAAGTGAAAGATGGGTTTATGGGAGGTAATGGAAGCTTTTCTAATGCAAAACAGTTTAGTGGACACACACTCTAAAAACAATCCTTCCTCTCAATTTTTTCAGCTCTGCTATCCACAACGCATTCCTTAATTACTGCTGACAAACTGTATTTCTTACATATTAGGTTTTGGGGTACCTCAGTAATTCAAAAAGGAAGAGGTATAAATGAAAATACACACATAAAAAAAACCTCATAGAAGTGAGTTATAGAAAAAAATGGGAAAATTCTGGTATCATAAATAGAATAGGTCTCTGGACAGAACAGACAAATAGAAGAGAGGAAATAGTATACAGCAAAGATAATCATATTTTGATGAAAAAAGAAAGAAAGAAAAATGTCTGATTCATTTGGAATTTTGAGCCAGTGACTGGATGTGTGAAACTGAAGGATGAAATGTAGAAAAAGAGTCCCATAAAGATTATAGAAGCAGAAGACGTCATTTTCAAGATTTCATGACATTCTCTGAATAAATTATCATTAGACACTGTAAGTGTAAAGATGCCTATATGGCCATTCTCTCAAAGATTGGAAACCTTTATTTTCAGCAACTAGAAGATGCTGCATGAGAATACAAGACGAGGCACACAGAAAGCACACAAAGATACAAAGTAAAGGCAGTCAAGAGCGTAATTGCTTATGTGCTGCACAGAATTTTTGTAAAGAAAGTCAATGCTTCCTGGAATATGTGCAGATGGATATGGAAAAATGATAGAGAGTGCACTGGGCTAGAGCAGGGAGTTTTATAATTTCATCTAAAAATGAAATAATATAATTTGAAACAAAGAAACACATCTTTGAATAGCTTCTCCAATTCACCTTTGTGTTTCCTCTCATCTCCGTAATCTTATCTTTAATAGATAAAGAAATATTTACTTCTTCCCATTTTTCTCTTTTATCTGGACTGAAATAGAATGTAATCAAGTTCTTCAAATGACAGAAGTTTATTTTCTTCCCTAAGTCCTGTTATAGGGGGCAGGGGGAAAGTAGGTTTACAGTTGTTTGTATGGAAAAATAATACAGTAATTAATCAAATAACAATATCAGAATAAATTCTGTGTTTCATGTACTTGCAACTGTAAACCTATCTTTGGCCCTCCTGGTATATATCATCTATATAGATAGTTATAACCAGTATATGAAAACAAGATCTGACTTACTTTGTCGTCCTCTCTCCAAGGAGCTGTTCTCTGTTAGGGAACAATCTTCAGAGTTCATCTTTATTCCAGTCAATACCCTCTGGTTAATCTCAGGTCAAGCCAATCTACAGTGAATGCCCTTGCTGGAGCTCTAGCTCAGTCTCTGAGAGAGCTCATCATTTATAGTCACATATGCGCTGTCTCCGCCCCCTTCCTCTTGACTTCTAATCACTCCACCACTCCAGTTCCCTTTAATTTATGCCCCAGTGGCCCAGACAATTTACAGTGTGTTGTTGTGGTGAGCTATGGGTTTTCCCTACTGTCTGAAATGTGCTTTCTCACAACTGTAGGTGTAGCATGAAAAGACACGTGGGATTTCCCAGAACGTGTGACATCCTTCCTTAAATTTATAGAAAACAAAAGTAGTTTGGGAAACGGTGTATCTAAATAAAAAACTCAAAGTTCGAGATTCCTATTTGTGAGATGGAAATAATAAATAAGAGTAATATTTCTCTGGAATTCCATTCATTCATTCATTTAACTAATATTTATTGGACATCCACTAGGAACCTGACACTGTTTAGAGCTAGAGGATTTATTGTTTAAGAATTTAAAAGTCTCCATCCTCCTGCATCTCTCTTCAGTGTGGGAGAGTTTCTTAGGAAGCTACAAGTCGGCTTTCAGAAGTTTGTCATTCACTTCTTTCCTGGGGACTAGCTTTTTTTTTCTTTTTTCTTTTTTTTTTAAAGGTATCATTTAGTAAGTAGTGCTTTAATGCAGGAAACAGAAACTCTGTGGTCTGGAACTTCCTTTCTATGTTCTAAAATTGTTTATCTTGAATTATCTGTTTCACTTATCCCCTGTTAATGTTTTTTTAAAATCAAATTTTACTGTCATTTAAACCACTCTGGTTTTCCCTCAGTAGCATCTTATCCTCTTATTTTTCCCTATGTACTAGATTGTTTTTTCATATATCTCTGAGGTTTAAGACATTTTAAGGATGATTACTATAAAAATATATTGCCATAGTATGAATATCATACAGATAACTTATTAAGATCAACATAAAATAAACGCAGAATGTCCATGTATGGTGACTTAAGGAGGGGATCAAAATACCATTCTGGTTAACAATGGTGCCAAGAATTGTATCATTAATATCACTTCTTCAGAGTGGGGACATTCTGTTTGTACAATTAGGCCTTTGAGAAAATGTTTTGCTCAGGTGGGTTGGAAGCTATCATCTACTGTAGGTTAGTTAGGCCATCATATTTATTTGTTTACCTAAGACATGAAGAGGTACATATTGGTCCTAAAGTCTCTCTTTGCTTTCATTCTGTTTTTTAGTCAATTTCCTAGTATGTTTTCCAAATAGCAGCTCAAGGGTTTGTTTTGTAATTACTAGTAAATGATATAATTTTGGTGAGTTGTTCAACTCTTCTCCTCTTTCTACCCTCAATGGCTTCTTATCTGCCTTACCATAAAATTCAACCTTCTTATATTTAAGTAGGTCCATGATCTGGTCCCTGGCTACCTCTCCACTATTTTTTCCTATTAGCCACTGCTTTCTCTCACAGGAACCTCTTTGCTGTTCCACAAAAATGTCAAACATACTTCCACTATAAGGTCTCTGCCTTTTGTCTAAATGGGTCTTCCTCCACCTACTTGCATGGCCTGCTCTCCCTTTAATTCAGTTCTCTCACTGTTAAACTTTCCTCAGCCCAGAGAGGTCTTCACTTGCCTTTCATATGTAGTAAAATAAAAATGTCACACTCTAATCTTCCATAAAGCTTTATCTTTCTCTACATCATTTGTCAATATCTGATATATTATTCTATATCCTATATAATAAAAGCCCAGCGACCGAAACGATGGAACGACCAGAATGACCAGAGACCAGGACACCACGGCCCCTTGCCCTGGCTGGCCCCCCACACCAGGGAATGGTTAGGGGTGAACAGGCAGTCAGGCGAGTAGTTAGGGGTGATCAGGTAGGCAGGTGAGTGGTTAGGGGCGATCAGGCAGGCAGGTGAATGGTTAGGAGCCAACAGTCCCAGATTGTTAGAGAGATGTCTGACTGCCAGTTTAAGCCCAATCCACAGGGATCCCTGCGGGATCAGGCCTAAACAGGCAGTCGGACATCCCCTGAAAGTCCTGGCTTGCGAGAGGGTGCAGGCCAGGCTGAGGGCCTCCCCACCCCCATACATGAATTTCGTGCACTGGGCCTCTAGTATTGTTTATAATCTACTTTCCTTACTAGACTGTAAGCTACTTGTGGCAAAAACTTTTCCTATCTTGTCCCTTCTGCCTTTAATACCTGACATAGTAACTGGAACCTAGTGTGTATGCTCAGTATATACTTGTTGAAAAAGTGAATAAATAAATCAATAAATGTGAATTTAAAGAAGAATATGTATAAAAACATATGACTTGCAAAATGTTGAGTGTTACCCTGGGAGACTTGTGGGACTGTAGGGTTAAGAAATATGTAATTTTAGACTGCCATTAGATAGCAAGCGCACATTTGAATACTGTTGATGAATGTTGGAGCTGTTAAATTTGGTACTTAAGGGAATAGCTAGTGCATTTGCTAATTTCTTTGGGTAAAAACAACTTAGATCTTTTATTTATTTATTTATTTATTTATTTTTAATTTATCTTTATTGTTGAAAGTATTACAGATGTCCCCTTTTTGGCCCTGATTGAGCCCTCTAGCCTGCTCCCGCCCACTCCACGGGCTATGAATATATGCATATAAGTTCTTTAGTTAATCTCTTCCTGACCCTCCCCCCCCCCTCTCTAAAATATGCCAGTGCTTTGCGTGCTTCAATGTCTCTGCATTTATTTTGCTCGCTACTTTATTTTGTTCATTAGATTCCATGTATAAGTGAAATTATGTAATACTTGTCTTTCTCTTACTGGCTTATTTCGCTTAACGTAATATTCTCCAGATATTTTAAATGTGTATCTGACACTAGCTATACATAGCATGTTGTGGTTGTGATGATTCATGAGAAAATAGTAGTCCTATAAATCTGCAACATGATTTGATCTCCTCCAAGTCTGGGGTATAGAGAAAGAAAACATCCTTACACACACAATAATCCTTACTGTAAGTGTTTTCCACATGCAAAGCAGGACTTTTCAACAGCTGATTAGGCTAATATAAAAATCATGGTCCAGTTACACCATTTACTAATGTACCTTTTCTCCTCTAGTAATTCTCATAGAAGTATGAAAATACAATTTTCTTAGCTGGACACCAACTATCTTTGAAGTTTGAATATTCTAGAATAGTTAGGCTGGTTACCATAATGAACATAGTGTATGTTTTATAGATAGATAACCGTTTCCCACAATTTTCCCTTTACTCCCTATAAGCCCAATACGTTGACCTTCAGTCTATTCTTTGCAAAAGCTAAATTTATTTTTACTTTACAGGGTATATTCTTGCTTTTGTTCTCTCTGCCCTCAGATTTTTTTCGTAGCAAACTCTTTCTTCTCATTAATGCTTACCCCACTTGTCCCTTCTCACCAGACCATCCCTGACCAACCGTACAAATTAACTTCCATTAGTTACAATTTATTACCTCACTCTCTTCTTTTAGTTTAAAGAACATTTCCAATGATAATATATTCTATAAACAAAGAGAGAGAGGTAATAAACGATGACGTATGAGAAGTAAAAATCATCATCATCATCATCATTATTTATTCCCTAACTAGAAAGTAAAAGGAACATTAAGAGCAGAAACATTTCTGTCTTACTTAACAACAAATTTCTAATACTTGTAATAGGGCCTAGAACATAGAAGTTCAACAAGTGTTTATTGGGTAAATTCATGAAAGAATGTATGTGAATTTCAACCAAAGCATTTGTTCACTGTGCACCTCTTGGAAACGTACACAGCTCCAGTGATTTTGGCTTTATCTATAAAATAAAAATATTAGCATCCAGTCTGGCTGGCGTGGATCAGTGGTTGAGCATCAACCTATGAACCAGGAGGACATGGTTCGATTCCCCGTCGGGGCATGTTGCGGGCTCAATTACCAGTGTGGGGAGTTCAGGAGGCAATTGATCAATGATTCTCTCTCACCATTGATATTGCTACCTCTCTCTTCCTCTCTGAAAAAAATGTATATTTTTTAAAAATATTAGCATCCAACTTATAAGTTTTTCTGTGAAAAAACACACATTAAAATTAGAAAATTAGTTTTCTACCACAGTGTTTGGTATATAATATACATTTAATGATATATAAATGAGTAACACTTTAATAGAAGTCATGAAAAGGGAAAGTTCCTCATTGGATGTAAGGTACCAAGAAATAAAACTGAGAAGTTATAGCATAATTGCTGATGTAATGCAACTTAGCTCTTGTCTGTCTAGAATACAGACAGACAGGAAGCTGTGATGTCCTACAGTCACCTCTAACAGCTTTCATGACACTTAGGTACTTGCTTATGTGCTCAAACAGTCTTTCTTCTTCACCCCCAATCAGGTGGAAAAATATTATATATGTGTATATATATATACATATGTATGTATATATGTGTGTGTTTATATTTATAAACCTATACATATATTATTTATGTTATGTATGATATATATGCCATTGGGCACAGAAAAATGATAACTAGTGATCTTATTGTGTTTTTTTTAAATATATTTTTATTATTGATTTCAGAGAGGAAGGGAGAGGGAGAGAGAGATAGAAACATCAATGATGAGAAAGAGTCACTGATCGACTGCCTCCTGGTAGGGCCACTGGGGATTGAACATGCAACCAGGGCATGTGCCCTGACTGGCAATTGAACCCTGTCCCCTTGGTTCATAGGTGGACGCTCAACCACTGACCCACGCTGGCCAGGCTATATAGTGATCTTATTGTAAGAAAACAAATATCCTTGAACATGATCACATTGAGTACAATCTGTTACCTTTGTTCTTAAATCATTTCTGTGTCTTCGGGAGCAGCCACTGTATTTTGTTGAAATCAGCACGTGCGCAGGTGGGAGTAGGCAGTCATTGCAAAGGTAAAATCCAGCCAAGGTACTAAGCACATGTTATCAGTAGCCCTCCAAGGCCAATATGCTTTGGCCCTCATGCTATTTACATCCTCTACAATAGTCTAAACTTTATTG